AGCTTGAACTTGCATATGAGTAGTTGGTGGTCTGTTCCACAATCAGCTCCTGGCCTAGTTTTCACAGCTGATACTGAGCTTCTCCAGTGGTTCTTTCTGCAGATGTTTTCAATCTGATTCCTAGGCATACTATCAGGTAAAATCCATATATATAACCTGCGTTTATGTCTCTTAAAAAACATATTTGCAATGAATATAGGTCATTGATTGTGTAAAATTCAGTCATTCTCTCTCCAGCTCCATTTCTGTCACCAAGTCCATGTTTTCCAACTACTGAATCTTCTTCTCGGTTCCCAACTTGTGCATTCCAGTCACCCATTATTATCACTACATCTTGATTGCATGTTCAATCGATCTCCGACTGTAAAAGTTGGTAAAAGTCTTCTATTTCCTCTTCCTTGGCTCTGGTTGTTGGTGCATATATCTGAATGATAGTTGTATTCACTGACCTTCCTTGTATGCATATTGATATTATCCTGTCACTCACAATATTGTACTTCAAGATGGATCTAGAAATTACTTTCTTAACCATGAAAGCAACTCCATTTTTCCTCACTTTTTCCTCTCCAGAGTAATATATGATCATCCGACTCAAAATTCCCCATGCCAGTCCATCTCATCTCACCAATGAATATGTCAATATTTATGTGTTCCATTTCTAACTAAGTTATTTCATTCAGCATAATATTGCTCATCCTCTATTAAAATAACTGGGGTCGTTTCCTGCCTATGTCTATGAAACTCTTCAAGAGTTTCCTCTTGGACATATTTCAGGACACTCTCCTCTCCCCACTATCTGATTTCTGTACTCATACGCATCATAGAATTTAATATGCTGAAATGTAATAATTGTGTGGTTTTTTTTCCCCCTCTTCAAACAACATCACAGGCCAAAAGGTCCCTGACATCTGTTTTGTCTTTACCCACTTAGCACATAGGAAAGTGAACAACGCACATTTGGATGAATAAGTACATGAGAGAGGACACACAGCAAGAGAAGCTGCTTATGAGCACGAGATTGGAAAAGCTCAAATTAACATCAAAACCTGAGATAAAGGTAGATGGTAACATGCAAAACACGAGGGTTGTGGGTTCTAGCTGTGAGCTCAGTTCCAAGCGTTCAGCAAGCGCTTAGTAATTAATGTGAACTGTCAACAAGACAACACGAGGCAGGTGAAATTTTGCAAAGAATACTTGATAACAGCGAGGGTAAGGAGAAGAAATAAGTTAAAGGCCTCCAGGTGACACAAAAACAAACAAACAAATCAGATTTCTCGGCATAGTCAAGCCTTAAAGGGACACTTCTCACTAGGCGGTCGGGTCCTTTGAGGTCCTTTCCGAGGTTGCATTCCCACCTCCTCTCGCCCCACCTTCTCTAACCCGTGCTTTTACAGGAAGCTGGTAAAACCCGGCGAACCAGATCCCTGAGAAACGCCCTTCTGGTCATGCGTAGCCGCCCACTCAGACGCAGGCGCAGTCACTTCCCCTGTAACCGCTACTGCCCGTTTGCGATAAGGTGGAGCGTTTGCCTTGAAGCCAACTAAGGCTATCCTCATTTATCACCTTGCCTGTGGGGGAGCCTCGCGAGATCGCACTCAGCAGCCCCCGGCGGCGCCATCTTTGTGCCTGGCGAGCGACGGCCCTCGACGGTAGCCTTGAAGCCCGCTCCTCAATTGCCAGTCTCGCACCGAGACCGGATCCAGGAAATACGAGGCGGGCCTCGGTGGGAGGGACGCACAGAGGGAGGGGGGAGGGAAGGGGGCGGCGGCGACGGCGGCAGCAGCAGCAGCCGCCGCAGCAGCAGCGGCGGCGGTGGCGGCGGCGGTGGCAGCAGTAGCAGCGGCAGCAGCGGCAGGAGCAGGAGGAGCAGCAGCAGGAGCAGCAATTGGCGGCAGCTCCCACCGGATCCGGGCTCCGCACAGCGCGCACCACAGGGGGGTCGGGCGGGAAGGCGGTGCCGGCCCGGACCCCCCGCGGGAGCAGGAATAGGGTGTTGTGAGGGCGAGAAGGCGACTGTGGCAGACGGGGAGCAGCTACCGCCGGGTGAGTGTCTATGGAGAGGCCCGGCACCTGCCTGGGCTGGGGCGTGGGGGGCAGCGCTGCTTCTTACTGCTGACCCCGTGCTTGTGACCATGGGCGTGTGTGTGACAGCGGGCATCCAGAGAGCTTGGTTTTGGCCTCGGGCTGCGGACATGGGGAACTGCAGAACTGCGGGAGGTCTGGCGGGGCCTGCCCTGTCCCCACCCGCCCCCGCCCCCAGAGGCCAGGGGGAGAGGGAGTGGCTGGAAGGGGGGAGTTGGCCTTCGGACCCCGAACCGAGGGATGATGTACCTCCTAGCCAAACTCTGGACAAGCTTCAAGCTCGCGCAAGGTGTTTGGGAATAAAGACTAGCAGCGCCAAGGTTGGGCTGTTTTGGCTGGCCAGAGATGTACAGAAGGTTGGTAGTAATCATAATAATTGCTTGAAAAGGGTTTTGCCATTGACTCTTGGCAGGTGTTGATGATAGAGAAAATACTGCGCTGCGTTCATTTAAATACGCTCTCACAAGCAGGACTAACCAATTACAGACGTATTTCTGGTTGCACTTCGGTAGTTTAGTGTGCCAGTTCATAAAGTGCATAGAAGCCGGATTTTGCGGGGAGAAGGGAGTGGGGTGGGCGGAAGAAAAAGGTGGAGTATAAAGTAGATTGTATATAAAATCAAAAGTTCGTACTGGTGATGCGATAAAAAGGTATAAAGTATTGCTTTTTTAATTGAAACATTTATTTGCATTTCTTATGAAAACATGTCACCTTTGATCCAGTCAGTTCGAAATGATGTTTTTAAATCAGATCATACTTTTGGCAGGTGATAAGTTATTTCTGGTTTATTAAAGAAAACTAGTTGAAGGTGGTAGGGGGAGAGGGATAATTGACAAATTAAGCTTGCACACGTTCTCGTATCCGGAGGAAGGAGAAAGGGGTCCAGTTTTTCTTTGCTCTGCTCTACAAATGATTTGCAAAAGTACAAGAAGGAAGGCAGATTTTGATCACTAAAAGGCTTTTGAGAGCAAAGTTTTGTTTTCCAACTGTTAAAGGGAATCATAACCAGTGGCAGTTTGGGATGATGTCTTTATGAACTCTGAAAGATTGCCTGTATGTATTAAAAGAACAAGCAAACAAAACCTCATTCCTGTGGAGTGGATTCTGATTAAGTGTGTGATGGAAAGTAATTTTTCCAGTTTAGTGACACCTCCCCTGCCAAATTTGTGTAAAACTGGCTTAATCAAAGGAAAACGAAGGCAAATAATAAATCCACATTTTTCATCTTTACATCTGACCACATCTCCCACCCTGGGAGATGACCATGTACAACTTGTGTGAGGGGAGTTGACAGCTGAGTATATGTAGGCACTGGGCTTAATGAGTTTTATGTATATTTGCAGCTGCTATTCATTGCTACCTTATACTGAAGAAAATGTCCCGGTAGTGCAGATGCGAAAACTACCTTTCAGTATTCTTCAGTCACTTTCCTAAGGAGATCGTATAGTTGGTAAATGGCAGAGACAGAATTCAAACTCATCTGTATCTGTTTCTAAAGCATGTGATCTTTGTACTATACTTTGCATAAATTTATATGCTGACTGATACAAACTTTATGAAAATGGAAAGTTTTGGTACAAAGAAACCTTTCAATTCTGCTGGTAATTTAGAAAGCCTTTACTGTCTTTGGTTCAATATAATCTTGTGGGTTGCTTGTGGAGTTGAGTTTTGTGTCTTGTTTTGTTTTAAATTTCCTTTCCCGGTGTGCCCATTTACTAGCCAGAGGTAACATTTTAGCATTTAGAACTCTGTTTTGTAAGTATTCCTAATAACCAGTAATGACCCATTTGGAATTCCTGTGCTTTTAGTAACTTTGCCTCCAGTTTCAGCATGCCCTGGATACTTCGAAGAGCAAATATTTTGTTTTCTCGCCTCCTGAATAATATTTCAAATTACATTGCCAAAACAAAATACCAACTATTACAGACTTTTGGATTTCCTTTATCATAGCTTGAATATATTCTTACTCTAACAAATAGAGGACTTGATAGTTCATGCTGTTTTTCTTCTTAACTTAGTTTAGAGGTTTCCAGTTCCACTTCATGGTTTGGAGATCAAGCAGTGACTGTTAAAGGATTCAGGAGCCCTTGTGGCACAGTAGTTAAAGTGTTTGTCTTTGAACTCAAAGGTCAGCACTTTGAATCCACCAGCCACTCGAAGGAGAAAATTTACAGTACCAGAGATCCTCCAGGGCAGTTCTGCTCTGGTAGCCTAGTGGTAAGAAGCTATGCTGCAAACTGAAAGGCACATTATTCGAATCCACCAGCTGCTCCACGGGAGAAACATGGGCAGTTTTCTCCTGTGTGATTTATTGCCTCCTAAAACCCGCTGGAGGATCAGGTATGAGTCAGTTCTGACTCGACAACACCCAACAACAACAGTTCTATCCTACAGGGTTGCTATGATTCGAAATTCACTTGATGGCAGTGGGTTGGGTGGAGGGTTTTGGTGGGTTTTTTTCCCCATATGAAGGGATTCAGCATAATCTCCCTTGAGTCTTGGGACTGAAAGACCTTGCAAATTTCCAGCTGGTATCTAGGGGGCTCTGGTGGCTTAGCGATAAGGAGTTGGACTGCCAAGAAAGGCATGAGGTTCAACTCTACCTTGCACTCTGCAAGAGAATGACACACAGTCTCCTCCTGTGCTATTTAATGCCTCTGAAAAGCTACTGAAACGTTCAACTCCACTGGACGGTCAATTATGAGTCTGTTCTGATTTTACAGTATATGGTGTGTCAGTATATGGTGGTAGGAAACTTCTGTCTCCCCACTAGTGTCTGTTACTGCACTTATGATGTGAGCCAGCTTCGCAGACCCTTTGTCTTTCTGCTCAAAAGAGCAGAAAACTCAAGAGTTTTCACAGCTGCATAGAATTAAACTGCAAAAATTACCCCAGAAATCAAGAATAACAATAGCAATAAGGGGAAGCAGTAGATCTGACACTCCTCCTCAAATATGTAATTTGGTCACACATATCTGTTGAATGAATTAGACCCGGCTGGAAGTTCTAAATAAGTTATCTTAAGAAGTGAATGGTTTTGGACACAAGGACATTGGAGGCTGGAAGAACTGCGCTCTACTGCACACATCAGTCAGCATATGTGTATGTTCTGTGGAGTTTGAAGCTATGCTTCAAATAAAATCTTGACAAGCGTCTTGCATTCAGTCTGAACGAGCAAGGTTTTTTTTTTTAAAATTACAATAATATTAGAGTCAACTGCACTTTCTTATTTGTGAAGGTACTCATCCATTTTATTCACATTATTAGGAAAAAAAATTGACATATAATGGCGTGCTTAGCAAACAAATCAAAACAACCTTTTTGAAATAATTATTTTGCTGCTCTGAAGGGAATTCATTTCATATGTGCTTAGTTTATGTTCATACCTTCTGCATGTTGTTTAATGCCCATGTCAGACCCATAACTACCAGTATAGCGGAATGAAACACTGGCTGATCCTACAGTCTTTACAGCAGTTGTTCTGTTTCAACCCATTATTGCAACTACTGTGTCAATTACTCTTTTTTCCCCCCTTTAACCTCTGTTTTTCCAAGCATGATGTCCTCCTTCAGAGATTTGACACCTGATATGATAACATGGCCAAGGGTATGTGAGGTGAAGTTTTGCCATCCTTGATTTCAAGGAACTCTCTGGTTATACTTCTTCCAGGACAGATTTGTCCACTTTTCTGGCATTCCACAGCACATTAAAAATCTTTTGCAGACACTACAGTTCCTATGCATCAGTTTTTTCTGTCGTTTTTTTCAGGCTGCTTAATACAGAAGGAATAAGGAGAACTTTCTGTATAACAGACCTCAAATTATTTACCACATCTACAAGTATTCATTCGTTTAAAAACGAAAGATTTCCTTTTTAAGAGAAAATGAAAATTTTAGAGTACTTAGAGCTATCAAACTAAATTAATCCCACATGTATATGAACATTTATTATTTTTTCATTTGTTGCCAGTTGTGTTTTTTTTTTGTGTTGTTGGTTTTTTTGGTGGGTTTTTTTTTCCCCCCTAACTACAACATCCCTTTTCCTACTTGAAATTTCTGTCTTTCCTTTTCCTCCTCTCTTGCTTCCGATGTTTTTTCCGGCATTACCTGGAGGCTTCCCTTTTGTTGGCACTGAAAATGGCAGGGTAGACCAGACACTGACAGGAAGAACAACAGATATCTCTGACTGTACCCTCTCCTTCAAGTGTATGTGCTCTAGGATGTCAAGAAAGGAGCTCTATGCTGACAACAACAATGTTAAGAAATGATAGTCCATGGTTTACTTACATCGCTGTGTGTTCTGTTGATTGCCATCGAGTTGAGCACAACTCATGGTGACCCTATGAACGAAAACCCTGAAGCTCTTCTACAACTGTCGTCGTTTCTCAAAATTCGGAGTTTTACTTAAATTTAAAATACTTTGAGGTTTAATGCCATTTTTATTTCTCCTCTTTGTTTCTGACTATTGTCCATCCCTGTTTTGATGTGTCTGATCTCCTCCCATGCACTTAACTGCCTCTGAAAACCCACTGGAGGG